AAATCATAACCATTGCTCAACCGATTGTGCATTGCAATTCATGAATAACGTCGTCCCAATACTCGGGATCGCCTGCAACATGCTTCCCAATTCAATACCAACTCTTTCATCGTCATTAACAACCCCTCTTGCAGTCATCATCACCGTTATCCTCTTCTTCTTCGCCAAGTTTATTAGAAACAAACCTCCGTTCCAACATCCACTGCCACCTGGTCCAACTCCTTTACCGTTCATCGGATGCTTCATCCAAATGGTCTTAAATCGGCCAACTTTCCGTTGGATCCATAAACTCATGACTCAGTTCAAGACCCCAATCCTTTGCATCCGGCTAGGACCATCTACGCATGTTATTGCAGTCTCCTGTCCAAACCTAGCATGTGAGTTCTTGAAAAAGCAAGATGAAGTATTTTCTTCAAGGCCTGTCGTATTATCAGCTGATCTGGTAAGTGATGGCTATCGCACAACCATTTTGTCCCCTTCTGGGGAACAATGGAGAAAGATGAGAAAAATGTTGATCCAGGTCATCCTATCATCATCAACACACAAATGGCTCCAACCCAAAAGAGACGAAGAAGCCAATCACTTGCTTAGGTATATTAGCAATCAAATAGAGAAACAAGATACCATAACTAATGGAGGGTTAGTAAATATTCGACTCACGAGCCAACATTTTTGTGGAAACTTGATAAGAAAGATGATTTTTGGGACAAGGTTCTTTGGGGACGGAATGGAAGATGGGGGGCCAGGTGAAGAAGAAACTGAGCATGTCACGTCTGTTTTGACCTTGCTCAAGTATCTTTATGCATTTTCCATCACTGACTATTTCCCATGGTTGAGAGGGAAGACAGATTTTGATGGCCATGAAAAGATCGTGAGGACTGCCATCCAAAGAGTTCGTAAGTATCAAGATCCATTGATCGATGAACGAATTCAAATGTGGAATGAAGGAGTGAGAAAGGTAAACAATGATTTGCTTGATGTTCTTATCAACCATGGAAGCCCTAAGCTCACATCAGAGGAGATCAAAGCCCAGATTATAGTAAGACTCAGGCATGCATTTCTAAGTGACTTTTGATTATTTGATTTCAACAACGTAGAAACTTTTTGGAACAATCTCTTGTATATATAGAAGGTTCTTAAGATTTTCATTAAATTGTAATATTACTGAGTCTTTTTTTGTGTTTTGTGTTTTGCCTGATTTTAGGAACTAATGATAGCCACGATTGATAATCCCTCCAATGCAATAGAGTGGGCGATGGCAGAGATGCTCAACGAACCAACTATCCTAAAGAGAGCAGTTGCGGAACTGGACCATGAGGTAGGTCGCCACCGTCTGGTCGAAGAGCGAGACCTTCACAAACTCAATTACATAAAAGCATGCATCAAGGAGGCCTTCAGGCTGCATCCTTTCTTACCTTTCAATCCACCACATGTTTCAATGATGAATACAACTGTTGCTGGCTACTTCATACCTAAGGGTAGTCATATCTTGCTTAGTCGTCCTGGGCTGGGAAGGAATCCAAATGTGTGGAAAGATGCAATGAATTTTGACCCAGATCGACATCTTGATGCAGAAGGAAAGCAAGTGGTTCTATCAGATAATGAGCTGAGGATGCTTTCGTTTAGCACTGGGAGACGTGGCTGTCCAGGAGTGGTGTTGGGCTCAACCATTACGACGATGATGTTAGCAAGAATGCTTCAAGCGTTCACCTGGGAGGCGCCACCTAATGAGTCGGGGATTAAGCTTGTTGAAAATCAAGACGACCTCAGCTTGGCTAAGCCACTTTTAGTGGTTGCTATCCCACGGCTACATCAATCTCTCTACCCAAAAATATGTATGGAATAAAAATATTTTTCTATTTTCGATGGTTAAAATATAAAGTACCAAAAATTTGAATGGAATAAAAATATTTTTCTATTTTCGATGGTTAAAATATAAAGTAATGTTTCTAAATTAACAAAGTAAATATGTTGATGATTTAAAATAAAAATATGCTTTTGTTTTGAATTAAAAATGAAAATATATTGTTTCTGTTTAACAGTTTGAAAATGAATCCACATCCACTAAAAAGAATTATAAACATTTATAATTTCGTTAAATATTCATCTAGTATCGTCGTCTAGATAAAAAAACAAATCTTTATTTTTTTTGTAAATCTATGTATACCATGTTTATGTATATGTGAGTTGTTGAATGGGGGCTCAACGATTGTGACCGGTGGCATGAATATATACAGTTTTTATATTTGTATACTAGGTAGTCTTCAACCCGTGCTTAGCACGACCCACGAAGGGTAGTTTGGGTATTTGTTATAATGTGCGACAATAAAAAAGAGTATAATGTTAGAAATGGGCAGGTTTTCAATATAGAATGACCGAATACACATATAAATGTAAATCTATGCATTGCTATTTCCCAAACTGATTTTTAGGCCTAGCATACATGGGCAAAGTATTGAATCTGAATTATATACAATGTTTTGACTGCTTGAAGTTACTATTACATTGAATCTGAAAACCCAAATTTCATAATCAAAATACTTGCAAGGAGAAGACTTTTTCGTTCGAGCTCCAAGTTTATTGTTTGCCACTCTAATAGTAAAACTTATCAAAACCATAGACCAATGAACTTTTGCCGAACTTGAAGTATAGCTGATTATTATAGCAACCCACTATCACCGTCATGCAACGAAACACCTTTGACTTTTGTTTTCTTTTTTTCTCCACATTCTTGTTTTTCAGGTGCAAGGTATGAAAATCATGAAAGCATCCTTTATGAACACTTAAGTTATGCATCAATATGTATACTTACAGGTGAGAGGTAAACATACCACATTGCTTATATTAATGGCGACAATATTGTAAAAGAACTTCATCAATTACTATGAAAACTGCAGTACTTAGTAGACGAATGATTGTATAGAAGTTTTTTGGATATTTGTGAAATGTCTAAAATACACTTCAAATGAGAAAATAAGGAAATCTGTAGATATATACTTGTCCAGACTCAACGGCCTTTACAAGAAATGCATAATTAGCAAAAGAATGGTATGTTTGTACAACATATAAAGCAGAAGCCATGACCATCGCCAGGGGCGGATCCCTTTAGGGGCCAGGGGAGGCCATGGTCCCCCCCGTTTTTTAGCCCAGTTACTTCCTATTTTCCTAATATCTCAAAGAGTTTCGTTATTGATTTAAGAAAAAATCGGGACATAATTTCAAACAGAGAAAAAGATATGGATCTACTACTAAAATACTTGATATCAAAACAAACGGACAATCAAAATATCAAAATAAATATAAAAAATTAGACTCTTCTAATAAACAAAAGCCCACAACTCCAACTCAATTTCTTCTTTTTATAAAGCAGAAAAATAGATGAAAGAAACCTAAACAGTAAAATTTATAAAACCCTAATCGTGCATCTCCAGTCGATGGTCGCTGATTTAGAATCGACGGCAGTCACTACTGGAATTTTCTTGCTCTTCGTCGCCCATCTTGTTTCTGAGGTCTCTCTGTATGTTCATTACTATCTTTAACAACTTCAATCTCTGGTTGTGCTCTTTGACTAAGTTTTTATATATTTTGTGATGCTGTGAACCAATATGCTCTGTGAAAGACTCTTGGTTGTTTTTCCTATTCGATGTGCTGTCAATGTTGAAGCCTAGAAGTCTAGAACCTTTTGTTTTTTTATTACTGTTCAATGTGATGTCAAATAGATACTGTTCCTTTATGATATTAATCAATATAATATATTTATGTTTAATCATTTCACTTTAATATTATTTTATTTATGAAAATGAATCTAAAACAATGAAATATTTGTTATGACGGCTAATGATATATGCGTTTATTCATCTTCCATTAACATAATATCTATATATTTTCTAACACAAAATATATAGTTTTATCAAACAAGAAGCTAAATGATAAATGCACTAAAAAATCAACTTATATAATAATCGACATCGACAATATAATTAAATTATAAATATATATTATTTTTGGAGTTTTCATTTTGGCCCCCCTACTTTAATTGGTCGTGTTCCGCCCCTCGCCAAGTTCCGCCCCTCGCCAAGTTCCGCCCCTCGCCATCGCAGTGTGCAGCAGCACAAGTTCTATTTAAAGATGCATACCCATTGTACTGACAAAAGCTAAATGCATGTGGAGGAATCTTGCAAACCCAAATCAGTGCTACCAATTTTTTTGAAACAGTTGGTAAGGGAAAAAGACAATAATTGATTTAAGATTTCATAATTATAAAATAAATATTAAAGAAACAATGAATTTGACAAATTGTGGTTATAATAGAAAAGATAAATTCACTTTCTCAGCAAAGCGCACATCACTTTCTTTGTGATGCTGTTAGGGCGACATAACTATAAGTTATTCGACCTGATTTATTTGCAACAAAACAAATAATATTAATTTTTTCAAATAAATTTACATCTACTAAGGGATTGTTTCTTTTTTATTTAATGAGCTTGATAGGTTAAGTCCATAAGATTGTTTTTTTCTTTTCGCCATTTAGTTTCGTATGGATAAATAATGTTTATAAGAAGAAAATGTTGTACAAACAAAAACTATTTTTTTTCCATGCAAATGATGTGTATGAAAAAGAGTAAATGACCATTTTACCCTTAAATAAGAAGCAATTAAAAAAATGAGAAAACAACACCTAAGAAGCATAAACAAGTAAAAGAACTATGTTGTGAGTTGTGACCTAGTCTCACTATTCGTGTATTGGTTTTTTTACACAAAACTTTCCAGCCAACGATATTTTTGGACAAATTTACCCTTTGACGAAGTTATTTGTCTTGGCTTTTATTTATTGTAGAATCCTACTTTTTTATTCGAGCATTAAACTTCGATGAATCTAGCAATATTATTTCTCATTATTTTAATAACGGCCTGAAAAGAATTTTATGTTGTGCCTTCTGTACTTACCTATAAACCAGAGAACTCTCATAAGCTATATGATTTTGACCTACAGATCCAAGTCAGCAACCAATTGATATAACGCCTTGCTGGGAATAGAAAGTTTGCTTTGTATTATACCAAGTAAAATTCCTAATTTTTTCACTAAAAATAAAGAAATTGCATGAGGGGACAAAGCACAATTTCATTACTGATACAAAATAGCACAACATGAACCACAAGAAATCAATTCCATAATTCACGAAGCAAAAGATCCTATAAACATTATGGAAAGACCTTTCATTTCTATTTACCTTCTAAAATCAAACTTACCAAAGTAGAGTTCAAGACATACCTCATATATTTCAGAATTGATTAATCTGCAACAACAACTGATTAGTTAACAGAGAAACTGATCATCATTATTTCATCTTCTGAGAAAATCGAAAGTAATTAAAATAACTTACAATCCAAAGCCTCTTGTAGCGTCAGCGTCTATTAGAAACCGAAACAAGGTTTTATAAAAATCTGCAAAGAGCGAGATGAAAGAAGATTAATCATGTAACGACTGAAGACTGACAGACTGGAGTTCGGATAAATTAATATAAGAAAGAAGGTAGCGATAAATGGGGATAACAGGAGAAGGGATAAGCCATTACAGGTTTTATATTGAAATTACTTTCATTTCACTCCGTAATCAATCAAACCACCGACAGTAGTTGGAATCTTCAGAAATCATATACACCTTAATCAATCCCAAAAATAAATTGTGTAGGGGAATAATATTACATACCATTAAAGGTCCGATGAGTTGGATTGAGATCAGCACAGAGCATCATCAGGGGCGTACTAACCAGTTCTGCAAAAAAGAACTCAAATTTATTAAGAAGCCTACTTTACGAAAAAAAAAAGTTGGAGAGGATATCGAGCTCTGTTGAAGCGCTTTCTAGAGAGAGAAAGGAGAAAAAGAATGAAACACATGAGGACATGAGGTGTGAGTTGTGAGAATGAAACGGAACGAGCAGGGAAATAGAGAAAAGGGGAACGTTGGAGAGATAATGGAGGGAAGACAAAGCTTGGAAGACAAGGTGGTAGTGGAATACACTATGTATGCGGTTATTGGTCGAGAGAGGCGGTGGTCGACTGGTCACTGGTCGACATCTAAGGAGATGAATGCACGTGGCCAGATAAACGATGTCGTTTTCCAAAATGACCTGCTACACTATCATCACAATTGACAAGTGGGATAAAGAACCAACAGCCCACATCTTTAACCCAAACATGAACCACCAGGTACCAGCTAAAGACCCGACCCACTTTTCCATCTTTCCCTCTTTGAAAAAAATAATGGATCCAGATTCTCCTTGTTGTTATCACGTGTCCTCCATTCTAAAATTCCTAAAAAATCCTCAAAATTCCACAAAAAAACAAGCATAATTCCTCAAGAAACCTTTCACCCCCACTTTTCTCAAACTTTAAAGGGTAGGGTTTATTTATATATATATATATATATATATATATATATATATATATATATATAAGATATTATAGAATTTATATTTATATTTGTATTTATTATAGAATTGGTTAATACATACTTAAATCATTGATGAAAAAGAAAAACTTTATAGTTAATTACAAATATTTGCAAAAAATTATTATTTTACAAAGATATAAGTTTTGTCTGTAAGTTTATAATAATTATAATAATTCAAGGAAGGAAAATTATTAGAAGCAGATAAGAGTGTTGAGCCATCTTGTTAAATATGAAATCACATTCATTATTTGAGAATCGAATTGACCAATATTTATGGATTGTATTAATATCAAAACCTTAGATATACGGAAATGTCGAATTTTAAGGGGCGAGAATGAACGACTTTAAAATTGAGTGAAGAGTAAATGGTATAAAGGTAATTTAACTCACTACAACAAGCACACCTTATGGCGACGACAAATTCATACCCTATCCAGACAACAAGTCGTCGGTATAGGGTATGCCGACGACATGTCGTCGGCATAGAGTTGTCGACATAGGCGTGTCGGCATAGGCCATTATTGTCGTCGGCATAGATGTCGTCATCATAGCTACCCCTATTGCGACGACTTGTTGTCGGTACAGATTCCGTCAATCATATTTTCGGGGAAAAAAATAAAGTTTTATTAATTACCTATAGTGACAAATGTCGTCGGCAAACATATAGCGACTACATGTCGTCGCGACAGGTTTAATCTATTACGATGTCTAGTCGTCGCTATAGGTTTTTGACAGGAGTCGATTATATACCTATAGCGACGACATGTCGTCGGGATAGCTACTGGTTGTTTTTTTTTTTTTTTTTTACTTTTACAGATTTAATACATTACCATTCCTGCAATGTACCTTGGAAGTAGAAATCAGACGGAATTGATAGAGTATTCACAATGGTAGGCCTCTAAACACACTTTATAGCAATGTACTTTTATTAGTTTGTTTAAAGTATTCTATTTTTCACTTCTCTTTCATATTTATAGTATATATACATTTTATTTTTTTTCAATTACAACATTGTACTTTTAATATTATTTTGTTTTGTTTTTTTTGTTTTATTATAGCACCGTACTTTTAATAGCAACGTAGTTTTATTATTTTGTTTTATGTTATAACTATCAAATAGAAATGAAAATAAAATACTTTAATAAACAAGCTAAAAAAAGTATATTGCTATTAATAACCTTTGTAGTTTAAATATTTTTTACTTAATAAACTTTATTCTCAATAAACGTACTTTTATTAGTTTAAATATTTGTATATTTTGTTTTATGTTGCTATTAGTAACGTTTGTTCTTAATGACAAACATTTTAACTTAAAAACTAAACACTTTATCACTTCATTCACTTAAGCTAATAAACTAAACAAATAGCACAACCATACATATTTTACAATTTTAGACATAAAATTTCATACCAACCTAAACAAAGATCACAATCATACATATTTCACAATCATACAAAATTTCGATTTCATATAAACCTAAACAAGTAAATTAACATTGTATACATACAATTTCAATTTCAAATAACACAAGCATACATATTTGACAATTTATACATAAAATTTCATATCAACCTAAACAAATAGCATTATCATACATATTTCACAATCATACAAAATATTTGATTTCATATAAACCTAAACAAGTAAATTAACATTGTATACATACAATTTCAATTTCATATGGACCTAAACAAATTTCAATTTAATATAATATTTTAAACAAAATTTTAATTTCATACAACATTAACCAACTAAATTAACATTTTATACATATATACAACTTCAATTTCACATAAACCTAAACAAACAAACATACATATACTAAACAAACAATACAATCATACACATACTTAACAAACAACACAATCAAACACATACCAAACAAACAATCCCATTATCATACAAGGATTCCAATTTCATATAAACTTATTTATATATATATATATATATATATATATATATATATATATATATATATATATATATATATATATATACAATTTCAATTTCAAAAAATATTAGAAATAAAAAAACTAACCTGATTCTTTCTTCTTGCTGTGATGGCCGGATTCCAATTGTCAACTTTGATGGGTACCCTCCGGTGGTGGCTGGTGGTCACCGGAAATACAGCAAATCAGGAAAAAAAACCGATGAACAGCAACAAAACTCCAAAACCGATGAACACTTACATGATGTAGCAGTGAAGGAGAGAAGCTGGACGGAGGTGGACTCGTCAGCAGGGAAGGCTGAAGATGGTGGAAGGCCGACGGTGGTGAACCAAAACCGATCAACAGCAAAAAAACTCCAAATTAGGGGTAAAAACCTTGACCACACAACAATAAAGAAAGAAATTTGAGTACAAGAGATGTTAGCCGGTGCTAATCGTCGGAATTTGGAAGCTCTAATTTGATTTTCGTCGATGGGGAAGAGAGGGTATAATTTTGCGTCACTGTGTGCAAATGAAAGACAAACTGCTGTCTGTTAGGGTAAACCCCTATGCCGACGACAAGTCGTCGGTATAGGGTTTCAATAAACGATGTCGTTTCATTTTTTGCTGAAACAAAAAAAAATTAAAAATGAAAAATTTGTGCCGACGACAAGTCGTCGGTATAGGGTTTTCACTCGGATCGCCACGTGGCCTGCCGACGACATGTCGTCGGTATAGATTCCGTAAAACTACGTCGTTCTGGTATACTGGACCATGGAATATAAATAATTGGAAAATAGATTTCTCGATACCTATACCGACGACATGTCGTCGGCATAGGTTTTCAGAATACCGCGAAGATTTTGGTCGTTCCCGCCAGACTTGTCGCGACGACATGTCGTCGGCACAGGTATTCGGGTCAAAGGATTTTGGTCAAAGTTGGCAAAATGTGTGGCGACGACTTGTCGTCGGCATAGGTGGACTTGTAGCGACGGCTTTTGTCGTCGGTATATGTGTCGTCTCTATAGCTCCGTATTTTTGTAGTGACTTCCAATAACAGAGAGCTAATAACAGAGAAATAGGAGATGACAAGTGATACAAAAATAATTCTTTTATTAAGCATGAATTTTTTTTGAAGGACAAGAAAGACTTATTTGTTTTTAACATATAACGTATAAAAGTTTATTTTTTATAATTTACAATACTTTTTTTTACAAACATTTATATCAATAAAATAAAATAAAATAAATATAATTCCAATAGTCTCTCTCTCTATCTATCTATCTATCTATTATCTCTCTCTCTCTCTCTCTATATCTATATATATATATATATATATATATATATATATATATATATATATATATATATATATATATATATATATACACACTAGGAAGTTGTACAAGTCATGCAATGCACGACCGGCCCATGGGTGTTTTTGAGAAAATTGTAAGAATATGCTAAAACGGTTGGCATTAAAGTATCATACAAGAAACAGAAAATACTAACTTATCAATATTTTTAATAACCTTTGTTTAATGAAACATGCAAGAAATAGGTAAAAACCAAAATAACGGTAGTAACAACAAATGAAAATGGATATTTATAACGATTTCAATGACGACAACCTTTATGGCTCACTCTTTAAAAAGTCCCTACAATATAAATGTTAAATAGAAATAATAAAACACACTCTAATTAATGACACCCATCAATGGTTCCCCATGAACTGAAAACATGAAAATAAAAAAACAAAACACACTCTTAATAATAAAACACGCTCTTCGCTATACCTCCATCCGGTGTCTTTGGAAGGCGAGTTACTCTCGGGTGTTCAAGCAGTCCTTCTGTCATCAAGACAAGGTGTTTGATGAAGTCCAATTTGTATCATTCAATTGGGTCAAAAATAGGTCCAATAGATCGAATTGATGTTGGAATAGCTGGTGTTTAAACTCTATTTCTTCCCTTATGTTGTAATGTTTTGTTCTTTTTGCTAACTTTTTTACTGAAAGCTTGTTCTAAAAAAAAAAGATAACCTTACCTTTTTCTCTTTCTTTCTCCTCCATAAGCTACCTCTTCTTCCCATTGGTCATTTACATTATAGTTGCCTTGGATTCCTTTGTTTTCAGTCACATTCTTTCAATTCTTCAGCACCGAATCTACTTCTCATAAAGCTTCTTTGTGTGCACAAATTCAATAGAGTTGTCTCCTAAATAGAGGATATCATCATATTTTGAGTAATTTTTCCATTTTTTATGACATGGTGAGATCTGCAAGAATGTATATATGCTGTATGCAGAAGTATTTTTTCCATTCAGATGGGTCTGTGCAAGAATATATGCAAAGAAACTTAAAGAAAAAGACTTCAAGCAGTTACCTGGATGAGATCTACATCAGGTAAAAACTCTAGTTGATGTTACATGAATCACTGTTTCTGATTTCTAGAAGTCTAACATGCATTCATATCATTAAAGCCAAAAACATATATACACTAAGTTGACCATGAATAGAAATCCAAGAACAAGGAAGTGGATAAAGTCACTTTAAAACTTTGGTTTCTAGTATGAGCATCAACAACACTAAATGGATCATCAAATAGATAAATATCATCATCTACAAACCGACCACATGCATGCTATCTATGTTATATATTTGTGAAAGGAAAAGAAAAACAATCTGTAAATTTTGTGGCATCTTCTGTTTCTTTATTTGCATAACCATCAGTTATGAATGGGTCTCCAGTTGTCCTTCCAAAATTTGTTCCTCCATGATAGTGTTTACATTACCAAAAAAAAAATTATTGATAATCTAATTATGTTTCCATTTTACTTTATAAATAGACATGCTAATAGTGGACTCACCATACCCACTATAATTGCTTCACGTTGATGGAGTTCAACAATCACCTCCGATTTCTATCGAGGAAGTAAGTATTTTTCCTATTTTCCTTTTTTTTGTTGTATTTATTGAAATTTTGTATTGTTCTTCAAAATATTTGACGCTCGTTCGCTTGACCGTTCTCTTTTACTTGAATGACGAACTTATCATCTCCAATAAAGGGAACGAGCATCTAACTTGGCGGTGGTAAATCCATGTTGTTTTGTTCCACAGAGCGGCTTTTTATATGAATGAGGCATTAGATTTGGAACAAACAACGAACCATCTAAATTGTCGGTCATGTTATCTGCAACATGTGTAAAGACATGTTGCACTTATAAAGAGCCGTTTTGTGTAAGAAAAACACCTACATCAAACTATCTTTTCCTATCGTTCATACTTTTTAAGAAAATTATGCTTCACATAGGAATATAGGAACATGAATGATAATGATGAAACTAAAGAGTACCATAGTTAACATTGAAATGTAGGCGATTGCAGAGACTTCTATAAATTCTAATTACTTTAGAATTGATAAAATAAATAAGAAAATGATTATTTTTATTTGATCTTTAAAATTAAGATAACTTTGGAATTAATTTTTAAGCATAGATTTAAAATGTGATTCTTTTGGGACATCGTTGTAAAGTGAATCTCTTTTATGGAAGAAAGGAGCGTAAAGTATTGAGCAAATATGCAATTGGAAGACATTTTCCAAAATTGTTCAAACCAAATGCAACATTTACGTAATAAATTGGGCAGGTTATGTAAATAACAACACATTTTTTCCTTTTTTCAAAAAAAAACAATACACCCATGGTCAAAATGAAGATTTCTAATGACCGCAACTCTGAACCGACTTCCAAGAGATTTATACATATAAAAAATAACTACCATTATACAAAATTTAATAGCATGACCACATGAATAGAGAAATAATATAATATTGACATAATTTATTTTCTTAAAGATGTATATTATCTTCTTTTGGTTAAATTATATACTAACTTTCATCAGTCTATAGGTTCTGTTAAATTTATCTTGGTGATTAGGTTAGATGTATAAATGACTCCTTAGATCTAGATTTTAAGAATGTCGTTGTTTTGTATTTTCTATTTAAAAGGATTTACAGAAAACGAAAATATTAATCTGTTGAACTTGATAGAACTTACTTTATTTTTCTTGGGGAAGATCAAGTCCAAGATACCCACTGGAAAGGATTCCATCTGCCTGTTTCATCAAAATTAGTCTTCCTCTGTCAACAAATTAAGAATTAAATAAAACTAAATTCCAACATAAGTTGAAGCGACCCAGAACAAAGTAAATAGAAGATTATAAGGTCTACCATCCAATTTCTTGACGCTTGATTTACCACCGATACCTCAAAAATCTAAAGAAAAAGGTAAATAGAAGGTTATAAGGTCTAACTAAACCTAAACCAAATTAAAAAAATCCTAAAGTAAATCGACAAAGCACTTGCAGGGTGAAAGCAGTACCTGTCATATGATTATCGATTGTTGAGTACACTGATGCAATATACAGAGAGAATAAGGGTTAACAAAGTAAAATCAAACTAATAAGGACGATGAACAGAACCCAAATAAAGCTCATGAACTGGAACAAATCAGAATCGAATTCTATAATAAATGGAAATACAGAATAAACAAAAAGCACAAACCTGGAAAAAAGAGGATGATGTTCATAGATGTGATTTGAGGTTAGTGCTGGTGGCTGTATCGGAGGTTAGGGTTAGGATTTAAAACACAATAATAAGTATGAAGATGTAATCCAATCTTTAAACACCCAAATACCGATTAAGAATCGTCTTTGCTTCGTCGATTAAGAATCGTCTTTGCTTCGAGATGATAAGGTAATTTATTGACTACTTTGCTTCGTCAATTAAGAATCGTCTTTGCTTCGATATGATAAGGTAATTTCTTGACTACTTTGTTCATCTTTAATCTTTAAGAGGGAGAGATATGGAAGAGGAAATTTGTGGTGAGATCTTAGGGAAGATGCCTCTTGAAACACGAAAGGCTCCTTGGAAAAAGTATCATTGTTCGTCGTGAAATAGGCGGTGTTACACACATGTCTCGCTACGTCAGCGCTTGAGCTTCATAGAGGAAGACAACTGTCCTAAGTGTGTAAAACATGCATTGGACTATAACAACGCTGAGAGTGAAAAAACAGTGTTTCACGCGCTAAAAAGGAACCCCTCGTGAACTTCACGATCTCTTCTAAAGAAAAAAACCTTTTCGTATATATATATATATATATATATATATATATATATATATATATATATATATATATATATCCAAAACTCATAATAAATTTAATACTTGTAATAAATATATATCAATTTCATTAATTCAAATTTATTTCTAAATTTAAAATTCATAAATTATAACTTAATTATTATTATTTTTATTTATTTATTTAAATTTAAAAGAGAAATGGGAATTTCAATTTTAAATCCAATTTTTCTCTCTTTTCTTATAAATTTAAACTCCTAAATGTTTTTACCTTTATATTTATATTTATTTTTGTTTTTTAATAAACTCGTGTAGTTGTGAGTTTAGTCCAACTTATTTTGGACTAGCATTAGAGGTGATGGAGGTTGAGAGTATGCAAACCCTAGCTCTCACTTCCCTTAAATATACGCACAATCGTCGAAATTAGGGTTTTGCTCGCAAGGATTGTCAAGTCATGACCAACATGGTGTCACGTCGCGACACCCAATGGAATGCACATTCTTCCCTTTCCACTGGCACGTCATGACACACACATGGTCACGTGATGGCAAAGTCTTTATCTTTTAAAAATTAATTGATAATTAGAAGTGATGCTTACCTGGAACTAGGTGTTATAATTCTCCCTCACTTGAACTAGATTTCGTCCTCGAAATCCTCAGCTACAAATAGATTTGGGTAGTAATCACGCATGTCTGACTCGGGCTCCCAAGTGTACTCAAAACCATTATGATGCTACCACTTAACCTTGACTAAGGGTACCACCTTGTTACCCAAAGCCTTCGTCTTTCTATCCAGAATAGCCACCGGCCTCTCCACATAATTTAGGCGCTCATCAACCTGAATGTCTTCAAATGAAACCATTGTTCAATCGTCAACCAAACACTTCCGAAGCTGAGAAACATGAAAGGTGCTATGAATCTGCATAAACCCCGAGCTGTTTCAGGAACGAGCAGCAGACTTCAAGGACGAAGTCCAAAATAAGTGGGGGAGATTTGTAGCACCTGGTTCTTGGTACGTATTCTTTTTATTAATTCTTTAAATATTTTGCATTTTTGGCCTTGGACTCGGCGAGTTGAAGGATCAACTCGCCGAGTAGAAGCGGGACGGAACGCGAGATTTAAGTGATGGACTCGACGAGTCGGGTGCTGGACTCGGCGAGTAGACGCTGTCTGCACAAAAAACCCTAATCCAAGGGTTTGCACCCTATTTAAACGACCTTATGCAGCCTCCATCGCCCCTTTATGCTCCCAAACACCTCTCATTGAAACCCTAGCCGTTATTGAAGCAATCTAAGCCTTGTTGGTGGATTTTGGTGCTTGTGATCTTAAGAAGGAAGGAGAAAGGCTTGAGGAAGCAAGTCAAGACCAAGGGAACCCGAGTCTGTGCACCTTCTACAGTTCATTGAAGGTAAAAAGCTGTAACCTTGCTCTTTCATTTGTTAGATCCCTTTTTGGGAAGATTTAGGGCTTTTATAAGCCATTTTTGGTGGCCAACCATGTTTGCAAACATGGTTGGGGGTTTAAGCTTCTGAATCACATCATTAAAGGAGTCACTAGGCAGATTTGGGTTGCTTTTGCACCCATGAAAGGTCCCATGCACTATAGGAGCTTGTTTTATGTCTTTTTGAGCTCAAAGTCCCATGAAAGCACGTAAAGTTTGTAACTTTACGTGCTAGATCGATTATAGAAGCTTGGATCTATCTTTTGATCAAAGGTTGTACATCAGAAATCAAAGATTTAGAGTGTGGACGTGACCAACTCGGCGAGTCCATTCTTGGACTCGACGAGTCCGAGGCTTTGAGCCCTATATCTGTTGAGGGTCAAAGGGACCCAGTTGAGTGTTAGAAGGTTTGTAACCGGACATAAAGAGTTACCCAATGCATTGGACGTGATTTAGACCTGGAGTTCATGGGACTCGGCGAGTGCTAGAACAGA